ATACCACCAAGAAAGAGGAGCTGGGAGCAGAGTGTGTCCTTTGGACTCAGGGTCCCTGGTGATAAGAAGCTCCTAGACCAGGGGAAGATTGATGATAAGGACCTTCCCCCAGAGCAAACAGAGAAAGAAAGTTTTCCTCTGGAGCTGGTGCTCTGAATTCCATCTTCTAGCCTCCTAAACCATGAGAGAATAAATTTGTTTGTTAAATCCATCCACTTGTGGTATTTCTGCTGTAGCATGAAAAGAGGAGAGTTGTAACACTGGAGATGGCGCAGACAACGAGAAGTAGCAGCAGAGAAACAGCAGCAGTGAAACCAGGAAACTGGGCTAGACAGCATGGAAGCTAGCCCATGGAGCAACAGAGCTCAGTGCCTTTGTGTAGAAGGCTTCCTGGTTGAACGTAGTACCTCCAGGATCTTATTGGTGGAGCTAGGCTAGCTGACCCATGAAGCAAGAGAGCTGAGTGCCTTTGTGCAGGCTTCCTGGTTGAGTGGGTGCATTCAGGCACTTACCTTTAGAGCCAAAGAGCTTTGGAAAATTTGCTTGAGCAGGGCAGATGCCGGGCCAGCCCAAGGGCCAAGTGGCTGAGAGCCCAAGGAACCAGGAAGCATAAGCTGAAGAGACAAAGAACACAGGAAGCAGAGCTACCTCAGTCTCAAAAGGTAAGGCCACGACCTCTGTGGTCTCAAAAAGTGGAGACATAGCCTCTGGGGTTTCAAAGGCTGGGACCATAGCCTCCTAGGGTTCAAAAAGTCAGATGTTCACCAACTCAGTTCCAGAGTGTGGGGCTGCCTTTCAAGAGTGCCAGCAGGTTGGGGCCAGATCCACTGCCTAAAGCTGAGGGGGCTGGGATGCCATGCCCAAGTAGCAGAAGAAGGAGGCCTGCTGGGGCCGAGGGGGTAGGGTTGACCCTCAGATGGACTAAGAGAATGGACACCCAAATTCAAGGGAGCAGAGTTACTTTCCCAGTGGGCCTGGAAGGCAGAGCCGAAGCCCAGGGCCAAGGGGCCTCTACCCAGCACCTGAAGAGTGTAGCCAACACCCAGACTCTGAAGGGCAGGGCCATTGCCTAAATGATCGCAGAGAATAGATTATTTTCAAGCCTCGAGAGCTAATGTAATGTGTTCTGCTGACTTGTTTGGTCCCTGTTATCTCTTCTTTCCCTCAAATTTCTCTCGTTTGTGAGGGAAATGTCTACCGTGTGCCTGTTCCACCACTGTACTTTGGAAGCAGATAACTTGTTCTAGATTTCACAGATTAAGAGGAATTTTGCTCCAGGATGGAATTTGGACTTGGAGGTCATTTAAGACTTTTGAAATGATAGGATGGGGTGAAAGTGTTTTATATGTGGCAAGGATATGAATTTTTGGAGGTCAAAGGGTGAAATGTCATGGATAGAACTGTGTCCCCCCAAAATGTGTGTCTACTTGGCTAGGTTGTGATTCCCAGTCTTGTGTGGCTGTCATATGTTTTGTGATCTGATATAATTTTCCTATGTGTTATAAATCCTAATTTCTGCCTGTGGTTAATGAGGCAAGATTAGGTTATGTTAAAAAGGATTAGGGTAGGATGCAACACTCTTACTTAGATTACAGCCCTGATCTAAGTGGAGTTTCCCTGGGGTGTGGCCTGTATCACCTTTTATATTACAAGAAATAAAAGGAGAGAGAAGCCAGCAGAGAGAAAGGGACCTCATACCACCAAGAAAGAAGAGCAAGAAGAGTGTGTCCTTTTGACCTGGGGTATCTGCACTGAGAAACTCCTAGACCAGGGGAAGACTGATGACAAGGACCTTCCCCCAGAGCCAACGGAGAGAGAGAGCCTTCCCCTGGAGCTGGCGCCCTGAATCTGAACTTCTAGCCTCCTAAACTGTGAGAGAATAAATTTCTATTTGTTAAAGTTATCCACTTGTGGTATTTTTGTTATAGCAGCACTAGATAACTAAGACTATTAGTTAGAAACATAATTTTGAGGCTCAAGATAAAAGGTGAGAACTAGAGACAAAAGATTAGGAGGTCATTAGTATATGAGTAATATTATTGGTATGTGGGGAATTCCACAAAAATGACTCAACACTTGAAAACAAGTGAATTAAGATATGCGATAAGAGATATATTTGAAATAAATGCAAATAGAATTACAGTAAATATGTGCAAAATCACTTTGAAGTAAGGAAAACCCTTCTATTGATAATAGAATGGATAGTAAATTAACAGGGTATTTTTGTGTTATAGGAGGAATAAATTTGTCTGTCAGAAATTGGGTTGGTAGGTCATGGGTATATGGAAAAGTGCCATGTGGCCCAATATGGACATTTCTCATTCTTCAAGGGAGAAGGAATCTTGGCCAAGAACTTAATTGTTTGATCCCAGGGTCTGTTGTAAGTACTGTCAGTTTTTTTCATTTCATGTTTCTGAGCCTTAAAACCTGAAGAACAAACCCTTGAGCATGAAAAATACACTAAAATACTGTGTCATGCCACACTATGTGTTGCCTCTTAGGAAGCAGCCCATATGCTTTCCCTGGGTGGTAGATGTTCACTTTGGGCCAGTTACAAAGTTTTATTTTGTATGGAGCTTATATAGTTTGTTTTTAAATCCTGAAGATAACGAATATGATTACATGGGAATAAAATGAAAAGAAAAGAGCGCTGGTGATAACTCTGAGGACCGTATTGGTTTCGGAGAAGAAAAAAAAAGAATTCAATGAAGGCCTGGAGAGAAACAAGAGAATGGGTGTAGAGATCCGACTACAGAGAAATAATGGGCATCAAATAAGCAGTAGCTTTAAAAGGGAGTATAAACAATTTAAAAAGCTGCAGTGGTGGAAAATAAGAACAGGAATAAAATATACAATAGACTTTTAACTAGAATTATAGTCTTTTGGAAGTGAGCTAAAAGATAATAACAATGGGCAAGAATCCAAATAGAAACTCAACATTTAATAAGAACTTCCATTTCACTTTTTTCTATCTAAAATTATCTTGTTTTATGCAACAAATTTACCACAGGTTTTTTTTTTTAATGAAAATAATAATGTAAAGAGTACCATAAATAGCTATTATTTTTTATTGAGCACCTATTATATTTGGGGCAGTGTTACACATTATATATTCATTATCTGATTTAGTCTTTAGCTCAACAAGTTAAACATCATAGTTACCTGTTTTACAGATGGGGACTAGGGTTTATAAAGTTTAATTAAAAAGTTACACACTGAGTAAATGGTTATTATTTGCCATAATAAGGCCCTTGATCTATATACTACAACAAATTGTTTGAGAAAATTGCTATCCCTATCAGGACCCCTTCTGAACTCTCTTCACTATTTTGTTAACAGGCATTATTCCCTCAAGGGGAAAAACAAACAAACAAAAACTCTAGGAAACTTAAGAGAAGATAGAGGAGAACCTTGAATAGTGATAATTTTTTTCAACCTCAGCTACATCTCAATTCCAATACACTCTATAATATTTGGGAATCAACAGGAGGTTACAAGGAAGAAGTTAACTACTAAATAGTATTTATTTAAGTGTCCTTTGCCCGTGGAATCCAGCTAAAAGACTAAGAGTTACTAAAACATCCCAACAAGCCAACTGCTTTCAAAAACGCCTCTACCACTAACACAAGATGGTGCCATTAGCATATTATGGTCAACATTTTATGCCATTATGCCCATCTTGCCAACTGGCCACAACCAATTCATTAACACATCAATACAAAGGTGATAAATTAAATCAACTCAATAACCAACCTGTGAGCAGAGTGGAATCATACAGCAATCAGTTAGCAGTGCCTCCATTGGGCTCTGATCAGAAGGTCCAGAGCTATTCAATATTGCCCTTTCCCAAGTCTCAGGACAAAATTTCACAAAGTTCCTGTAACAGAGTTCTTCTGAAATCACCATTATCCAATCCCAAACATCAGGCTACATCTTCACTAGACCTCCCCTGGGGAACTCCTTCCCTGGGACCTAATCAGAGAGCCTTGAGATCACCTTTTCCCCACCCTAAACCTCAAACAACATCTCTACTTGACCTCAAAATGACATCGTCATCACTGGAGCCCAATCAAACAGCCCTAAATTCACCAATACCACTCCCTAAATCTCAGACCATATGTTCCCCGGAGATTTGCTGGACATCACCTACACTGAAGTCTAACCAAAGAGTTTTGAGTTCATCATTATCCCCCCTCCAACATCAAGAAAAATCTTCCCTAGGTATCCTCTGGACATCCTCTTCTTTGGGACCCAATCGAAGAACACTTAGCTCAACATTACCTCAATCCAAGCCTCAGGAAACATCATCGAACTGCCTTTGGGCATCTTTATTGGAGCATAATCAGAGATCTCTGAGCTCACCATTACTCAATCCCAAACCTCAAATGAACGACTTTCTTTGGACATCCTCTTCATTGGAACCCCATCAAATGACCGTTAGCTCATCGCTACCTGACTCCAAACCTCAGAAAACACCTATATTGAACTCCAATCACAGTGTTCTGAGCTTACCATTGCTCCACTCAAAATCTCAGAAAAAAACTTTACCACTTTATGTCCACCAGACTCAGAGTTTGCCATTGTTCCAACCCAAATCTCAGACAATGTTTACACTTGATCGTGACTGCTGGACTCTGAGTTCACCAGTTTCTCACTCCAAACTTCAGAAGACCACATCACCAAGAGACAAACATACAGCCACAAATTCACCATCACATCTACCCAAACAAAATATCTCAGATGAATCATCATCAAGTTCTGAGCACTGCATCAAGGACTTGGCTGTTTCAGCATTGATCTCCAAACTCCATAGTAGAAGAAGTTATGATTTTTGTGCAAACACAGAATCAAATAAAGAAATTCCATGGACTTTAGATAATATTCAACCTTGCATTGTTAAAGGTGGAACTATCCCTGATGATGTTGTAAATAAAATTGTCAATTCTATCTCCAAGACCAAAATTCAGAGGGATCTCTCTAGGCAAATTCTCTTTCGAAGGATGAGGGGAAGGCCAAATCCTCGTCCTGGTCCCCGTATTTCATCAAGTTATATGGTTTGTTTAGTTTGTGCTTCCTGCATAAAATTTCAGTGTAACCATCTTACAGGAAGGAAAGACCCTCGTGGTGCAACATTGTTTGTCATACCAACACCTGAACCCAATTCTGAGGGGGAAATAGAGGTAAAATTAGTTCTTATCCTTTCTCTACCAGAGACATCTTTCTCATCTTTCCCTGTGAAAGAAAAACAGCTTGATCAAGTGTCTGAAGACAACCTCGAAGGAATGGGAATGGAGATGATATCACAGATTGCCCCCACCTCCGAACCTGATATCATCCAGGGACCTGATACGAAGAAAAACAGGTTGACAGTAGCCCCCCAAAACAAAGTTATAAGCCAACAGCCCCAGGCTATTGACTGGCTGCTGTATGTTAAAAAAAGTAACAGTTCTCAACTGAAGTCCCAGATTCCATCTTCTTCTTCCTCTTCCTCCTCCTCTTCCTCCTCTTCCTCTTCCTCTCCCTCTGTACCCACCTCACCCTCTACTGTCAAAGATGCCACCACATCTACTTTATCAGGTTGTGTGTTCACTAAGGTACTTAGTTACCACCGCTTGCCTCCAGGGGTCTCCTGGCTTGAGTTTATAAAAAATAAAAATCACCAGCCACTTCCTGGAAAACCACACGAAAGTCAATCACCAACTCCCAAAATAAGGCCTATGAGGAATAGCGCCACAGTAAAAGAGACAAAGGGACCAAATATACTGTTCAAATTTTTCCAGACAAAGTTTCAAAATGAAAGAAATCCTGATTAAATTAACTTTTTGTCTCTTTGAAAGCAATTGACCTCTTAGTTCTTTGAGACTAATGTTTGATTTTCTATCATGCTTACTAATATTCTTAGTAATAACTTAAGCGTGACTGTATAGTTAAGCTGATGAAGAACCTAGTTAAGGGGAGACTATTTCCCTTAATACTATTTTCTAGTTAGATAACAGACTTTGATTTCTAGCAGCTGAAACTGAATTCTATGTTTGTAACCCAATGCCTGGCTTATAGTAGCCACTATATAATCATTGTTGAATGAATTGATCATAGTTGCCCATGGACCAGAAATACTTCATCTTGCCCTGAAGAGTATCTGGTTCAATTGTTAGTCTCTTTTCTTATAAGACATGATAATGACAGTATTCTTAAACCAGTTTTGACTAAACTATTTTCTCAATCTCTAAAGAAAAGTCAGATCACTGTTCTACAGGTAAGACAGTATATAAAAAATAATCTTTTCAGTTAAGGCTCCTAAAGATAATTCTGTGGTAAGATCCCACATGCTGCAATCCAATGATTTGTTCAATCTTAGTTAACAAATCTGAGGAGAGATAAGATAACTAACTGGTACATATAACCCTTTTTTTCATGTGACTATGTCCATATTTCAGTTATGGGCTTCTGAAGTCACCTACTCATCACTTCTATCTATACAACCAAAATGGGCTAAGAAAAAAGAAGAAAAAATGTTTATAAAATGTTTTTGTTCCACTGAGTATACTGTTAGTGGGAAGAGAAGGTGCAAACTGTTAACATGCTTGATTGCTAATGGAAAGGTTGGTGGTTTAGGTCCATCCAGAGCCACCTCAAAAGAAAGTTCTGGCAATCTAGAACTTGAAAACCCTATGGAGCAGAGTTTTACTATGACACACATGGGGTTGCCATGAGTCAGAATCAACTTGATGGAAACTGGTTTTGACCGGTTTACATATCCTCCTGACTCACAATTCTGATTCTCCACCCCAGATTTTTCTTGATCGCCAGACTGTATACTGGACATTTCCAACTGGGACATGGTATAAGCATCTCAAACTCAATACAACCAATCTTGAATTCATCATCTTCAATCTAATTATCTCTGAATTCTCTATCTCAGTGGATGGAGCACCATCCATCATGATGTCATGCATAATTCTTTTTTCTCATTGTTTCTCTCTGAGTTCTATTGCCCTGTTACCCCTAGAACCCAGCCTTTTTTTCCTCTACCCCCATTGCCACTATCCTAGCTGTGTTCGTAACCTTCTGTCACAGGGATTACTCAATAACTCATAAACAAGCACTCTGACTTCTGAATAAATGTCTGAGACATACATTTGAGAATGCCACTACGCTGCTTAAATTTCTTTAACGATTGCTCACTGTTTTCTGGAAATGGAGTAACTGGATGGCACAAAAAGTTAAATGCTCTTCTACTAACCAAAAGATTGGCAGTTTGAACCCACCCAGAGGCACCTGGGAAGAAAGGTGATCTGCTTCCAAAATTTCACAGCCTTGAAAACCCTACGGAGTACAGTTCTGCTCTGCGTATGTGGGGTTGCCTTAAGTTGGAATTGACTTCTCACCAACTGGTTTGGTTTTCTGGGGCAAGTCTAAATTCCTTTTATGATTGGACTATGATAACCTCTCAGAACCGATTTATCATCTTTCTCCAGTCCCCTACCAGATGCTTCAGCTACACAGAGTTTTTTACAATGTGTATAACGTGCCACCAAAACCCACTGCTGTTGAGTTGATTCCAATTCCTGGTGAACCTACAGGACAGAGTAGAACTGCTCCATAGGGTTTCCAAGGCTGTAAATCTTTATAGAAGCAGACTGCCACATCTGTCTCCTACAGAGCTGCTGGTGGATTCAAACTGCTGACCTTTCTGTTAGCAGCCAAGAGCTTTCTTTAACCACTGCCCTACCAGGTGACCTATGTGCAACAGCCTATCTTATATCCTTCATTTTAAAATCAACAATCCTGCTGCTTAGAAAGATGTTTACATCTATCCATTTTTATCCTACAGGACTCTGTTTAGTCTTTACTTCTTCTAGCAAACTTTTTTCTGATCTGCGACAAAGCTGATCCTCCTATTACCATAAAACTCTGTATTCACTTTTTTTTTTTTTTTTGCTGCTCTTAACCTCATTATATATTGTCTGTCTTCACTCACTTGTCTGTCTTTACTTACTAGACTGCAAACTTTGTTTGCCATTTTGTGCTGGTTTTTTTAACTAGTGCTTGGAATAGAGTAAATGTTCAATGATGTGTATTGATATTGAGTTAATGCTATTTACACTCTCCATCTTTAAAAATCCCCTTAAATAAGTAATATTTGGTTGGTCTGCTTCTTTCCAATACAATTAATGCCACATTGGTCATTTTACCCTTTATCTTGGTTAGAAGTTCTATAAAAATGTCACTGATGACAACAGTCACCCTGGTCTTATTTCTTAGGTAGAAAGTGTTTCTAGTATTTCTGCATTAAAGATGATGTTAGCTGATGTACACCTGATCAGTAATGATGAGGAAGAATGTGTTTATGTGAAAACGTGTTCAAGTCCTTCTCCAACAGCCTTAGAAAACCCTTGGCATGTGCTCTATCCATCCTAACCGTCCCTTTTGGTGATACACATCACTTTTGTAGTTGCTTGTTGAATATCTATTCTACCAGACTAAACTTCATGAGTGCAGGTCCTGTGTCACTATTGTTCACCACTAAATACTCAGGACCTGGTTGTACTTGACATGTACTAAGCATACGATAAAAATCTGTGGAATTAAACAGTGGAATTCAACTGATTTTTATTTATTGATGTAACTTACATGTTGAATTTTACATCTTTTAGCTTGTTTTCTAAACTTTATGCTTCAGTCTAGTTTTTGTTTTTTCCATTTCTTTATTTTTTTGGACTAGGATTTAGTTGCTTTTAATTTCTTTAGTGTACTGGAAGTTATTTATCATGTTCTTAATTATAATAGTGGCTACATTCGAAAATTTTTTTCAAAAAGGTTTTTCAACCTAAATTTTTCTAATTTTTGAATTTCTGAATAAAATTGCTTGGAATTTATGGGAAAAAGATGTCTACATGAGCAACTCCCTCTCTCTCTCTCCCAGCTTCTATAGAGATAACAATAAAATATCAAAAATAGAGAAAAACATATACCAGTGACAGAAAATTCAAGAACTTGCTGCCAATTCTTGTACAGATGGGACCAAATTTAAGGAAAGGCAGAGGAACTCAAAATCCACTACATTTGAAGAAAAAGATAATCTGTAAAGTAATATAAAAAGATATCAATAGTATCTCATTAATGCCTTTTATCTTAAATGAAAAGGGCTGGAAATGAGGGCTATGTAACAGTTGGAAGGCAGAAAGTAGATCCTATGAGTTTTCACATTTTTATTTCATCACTTGTTGGAAAATGATGTGGCATATCTGGATGAAAATTTGACAATAAAATTTAAACAATAATAACATACATAACCATTTTCCCTATGGTCTTCCTTCTTGGAATTGATCTTAAAGAAATAATCACAACTATGTAGACTTACAAGCAAGCATTGCTGTTTGGTAATAATAGTGAAAAATTAGAGAAAAATGTAGATGCTCAGTTATAGAAAATTATTTACATATGCTATGCTCCAAATAAATGATGTATTTTGTAGTAAAAAAAACCTGTTATTTTTGATGTTGTACCAACATTTCTCTTAATAACAGAAGTACCTTGTTTAGGAAAATATCCTGTGAGAACCCTTGGACATGGACAGGGATCCTGATTATGCCTCTTCCTGAAGAAGAGAGTGAAACAAAGAGAAGAGAGCTAAACTACTACATCTAAGTTTCTAATAGGAACTTTTAGGTGAGAGACAGCATAAGAGAGGAGAGAGGATATATTATTTATGATTTTTAAGTGAAAAAAATTAAGATTATGACAGATCACATCAATTTACATATGCTTTCACTTTGGAAAACACTGAAGTTATGTGTATATGTGTGGATGTGTTTGTGTAAAATCTATTTCATACATATTAGAGAAAGGTGCAGTAACTGGAAATAAATACCAAAATGTTGACTAAAATAGTGGCTATTACTGGGAAATAGTTACAATGAGGTATACAGGAAGTGGGTGAATTTTTTTTCTTCTATATTTTCCAAATCTCCAATGAATAAGAATTTCTTTCATAATAAATAATTTAAAACAAATGTTTTAAAAATGAAAAATGAGAACATCTTTCATGTCCTCTATTTTAGACGAAATATTTAGCACACAATAATTTTGCTTTTTACTTCTTTCCTTTTACTGATTGTCTTAGGCTGGGTTCTTTAGAGAAGCAAAACCAGTGAAGTATATATATACATATAGACAGAGAGAGAGAGATTTATCTCAAGGAAATGGCTCTCGCAATTGTAGAGGTCAGGTGTGTCAGGCTGGAGGCTTCTCCCAACTCACATAGCTGCAGGGGCGGACAAACCGAAGATCCACCGGGTCAGACGGCAGGCTGCTGGCTCACGGCTGTGAATGCTGATGAATCCAAGATCAGCTGGTAAAACGGCAGGTTGCTGACCCAAGTCCCAAGAACTGGAGGTCAGGTGCTGACAAGCTGCATGCAGGATCCAGAGCAGAGCAAAACCCAGCAGGCTTTGACAGAAAGTCAGCATGATGTATTGGATGCAGGTCAAACCCCCAAAGAAATTCCCTTTCAACTGACTGGCTACTCTCAGCAGATTCCATCATAGAAGTGATCACATTATATCAGATCTCATCATGAAAGTGATTACTTCATTATACAACTGCCAAAATACATCATAACTGCCAAACCACTGAGAATCATGCATGGCCCAGTCAAGTTGACACACAATCTTAACCATCACACTGATATCAATTGTGACTTTACAAGCCCATAGGGAATACATATTTCTACAAGACAGACATTTTCTTTGGGAGAAATGCATTTTCATTAAATTTTAAAGTTCATTAAAATGTTTAGAAAATTCCATAT